TCCTTTCACAAAAAGTTTCTCTGTAGCCTGAGATGCTATTTGACATCATTTTACCCACAGTAGAACTTCTTTCAAAATTGGAATAAATTCTCCCCAAACCTGCAGCTGCTTTATCAGCTAAGTTTATGTCATATTCTAAATACTTTGTTATCATTTAAAAAATGTTCACAGCACCTTCACTAGAAGATTCCATCTCAAGAAACCACTTTCTTTGCTCATTCATAAGAAACAAATCCTCATCCATTAAACAATTTTTTTTTACTTATTTTTTTTTATCTTGACATTTACCTGTACACATTTGTGGTATACAGTATGTTGTTTCAATATATACATATACGGTGCAATGATTCACTTAAGGTAGATGGCATATGTTTGCACCTGTTGTTTTATCATGAGATTGAAGCAATTCAGTCACATCTTCAGGTTCCACTTCTAATTCTAGTTCTCTTGCTCTTTGCATCATATCTGCAGTTACTTCCTCCACTGAAGTCTTCAACCTCTCAAAGTCATCCATGAGGGTTGGAATCAACTTTTTTCAAGCTCCTGTTAATGTTGATATTTTGACCTCCTCCCATGAATCACAAATGTTCTAAATAGCATCTAGAAGAGTAAATTCTTTCCAGAAGGTTTCCAATTTACTTTGCCCAGGTCCATCAGAGGAATCACAGTCTATAGCAGCTATAGCTGTATGAAATGTATTTCTTAAATCATAAGACTTGAATGACAAAACTACTCCTTGATCCATGGGCTGCAAAATGGTATCTGGCATGAAGACAACTTTATCTTCTTGTACATCTCCATCAGCTCTTGGGTGACTAGGTGCATTGTCGATGAGCAGTAATGTTTTCACAGGAATCCTTTTTTCTGAGCAGTAGGTCTCAACAGTGGTCTTAAAATATTTAGTAAACCATGCTGTAAACATATGTACTATCATCCAGGTTTTGTTCTTCCATTTACAGAGCACAGGCAGAGTAGATTTAACATAATTCTTTAAGGGCACTGGGAATTTCAGAATGGTAAATGAGCGTTGCCCTCAACTTAAAAGTCACCAGCTGCATGCCCCTAATGGAAAGTCAGACTGTCCTTTGAAGCTTTGAAGCCAGGCATTGACGTCTCCTCTCAAGCTATGAAAGTTCTAGATGTCATCTTTTTCCAATATTTGGCTGTTTCCTCTACATTAAAAATCTGTTGCTTAGTGTGTCCACCATCATCAATGATCTTAGCTAGATCTCCCGGATCACTTGCTGCAGCTTCTACATCAGTACTTGCTGCTTCACCTGCACTTTTATATTACGGAGATGGCTTCTTTCCTTAAACTTCATGAGCTGCATTTTTTATTGATCTTTTTTGTCTATTTTACTCATACAATGAAAATTGCAAGGTGCAGGAATTTCTGCTTTGCCGTTTTTGAATCTCCTGAGACTCAAATAATGCCTGACATAATATATAATCAATAAATATTGGTTGGATGAATAAATGAAAGTGTTTTCTAAATTTATATTCTGTTATAGCCCCTCTATTCATTAAATTAAAATAAAACTGTATTTAATTGTAACCTAACATGGAATATGAATTCATGAATATTTGCATATTTAAAAATTATCCACTATAAACTGTTTCCCCTCCATTCTCTTATGATAGTGAAATATTTTAGCTGGCCTTTCAATTTATAACTACTAACCATGGCTTCATTTTACTAGATTTTAAAGCATATTGAAGTGTGTTCACTTTAAAAATCACTATATAGCTTACTTAGAATTAACTGTCTTCAGATTCTTAATCAAGGAGAATATTCATTCCTGTATTAAGACTAGAAAGGCAAGATTGAGATTCTATATTCCCCAAAAAAATCCTTATTCAAAAAGCTAAATGCATATTTCTTTTTTATATCAGGGCATCCTGAGTCAATTAATGTCTTTTTCTTTAATCTGTTAATAAAATGCTAAATATTAATTACAAGCAGGTAATTTTCTGTAACACAGATGTTAGGAATTTGACTTTTTTGGTTAAGTAAACTTTCTTAAAATCTTTTAACTCTATGTTAAAAGAAAACTGTAAAGGATTATCTTAGACCATTTTGGTATACCACAAAGTAGAAAAAGAAGCTGATAGTAAAAATACAGCATATGCTTCTCTGTTTAATGAAGGATTTTAGGTATTAACACTTTGAAGATTTTATTTTGTGATAAGAACAGAAAATGTTTTTCAGAAAAAGCAAAGTCAAGATGTTTAAATTTATCTTATGATTTTAAGATCAGAATTGCATAGTGTTTCAGAATTGTGCATCTGGGAAATATGTTGTATATCACAAAGATTTTAATTGATACAGACGGGAAGAGAAATGTATCTCTTGTTAAGTTTTAGTCTTTGGAGATTTCTTCAAATTACAGAGTAAAATACTCCATCATTTCAATAGCTATTTTTCAGTCATTTTTGCAAACTATATCTGCATCCACAGGCAAAGGAATTTTTTTTTAATCTCTGAATTACAATTTGGAATGTCATGAGTTATTTCATACAACAAAGTTTTTTAAATGAACACTGGCAGTGCCATTAGTACTTTGGTCTGGAACTCAAGTACAAGTCAGCTCTGTTTAAGTCACCATTTGCAGAAGCCAGAAATGAATGTGCAGTTAAAAGGGTGCCATAAGTTAATTAGAGTGAAATTAGAAGAAAAGTGGTCATTTTAGAAACATAAGAATTGCTGTACCGAATCAGACCAATGGTTCTCCTGGTTTAATATCCAGCTTCTAGCAGCTGTACTTGTTAGTTTCTAAAGCTTTAAAAGAAAAGAAAAGACGACATAATTCACCTAGACAAGTGTACCATCTGTGATCTGGAGAAATTTTCTTCTTGACCTCTCTCAAATAGTACCCTAAAGCAGGAGATTTCACTCCTGCTATAATATTGGTTTAGCTCGAATAGCTCTTGTTATTAATAATTCTTATTAAATCATCCAATTCCTACATAAAAGCAAGCAGTCCATCAGGAAACTATTTGTCTCTAAAGCTCCTGAATTCATGGTTGATTATGCCTGCTTCTATGACAAAATATGAATTTATGGTGCTTATTCAATACAAATTCTTGGTGACAAAATCTGCCTCTAGATAACCAGGCTGAATGAATGTCTGCTTCTCTTTCCAAACTCTACAGAGGCTTTTGGCAAAACCAAACCAAACCAAACCAAACAAACAAACAAACAAAAAAAACCTTTTATCTGCTAATACTACTACCAAATTTCTATCTATTAATAATCTTCAGAAGCTATTTGAATAATGAAGAATTTTGTGTGCTGAACTTTTAGAAAAGTTCAACTGGAGTTTGTCTTGTATAATTTTACTTAAGGTAGAATGCATTTGAGAGAAAGGAAAGAATTACTTATTCATATCACTTTACTCTTTGTTCAAGATAGAAGTAGCTTGGGCTCCTTTATAGGTTTCCTGATTATTCTAAATACCACAAATACCACCTTCAGGTCAGTATTTCTAAAATATTTTGTCCAAAATAACCACTTAGTTGGAAATCCCTCAAGAGTAGTAAATGCCTACAAGCTAAAGTCTAAACCATTTTCCTAGGCCGTCAAATCTTAATGTGATAAGACTAATATCTTATATTCTAGGATAGAAGGGGGTACTACTGGAGTAACTCTATCCTAGAATACAAGAGAACTAGTTTTTTTCCATCATTATTTGAACTGAAAAACAGACTCATTTTTTGTGTCTATGTTAATTCTGTTTGCTTCCTCTAGTTTTCCCAACTTTTCTTTCTGGTTCAGTTCTTTATTTCCTCTCTTTACTTCAGCTGGAATCCTATTTCTTCAGGTGATTTCTTTTCAAGCATGTAGTGATCGCTCCCTCTTCTGACAATCTGTGCCCCTTTGTTTAGACTTGGTGTGGCTATCATACATCACTGGTTCTTTGTTTTCATGGATGTTCTTGCTTATAAACTCCCCAAAGGAAACTAAGTCTCTCATACTTATTTATATTTCTAGAGCCTAGATCAGTGTATAACTCTTTACGTTACGATATATCTTTAAAAATATAAAATAAAGATATATTAAAAGGAAAATTATAGAATTGCCAGTGACTGATGTCATAGATCCACTTTAAATAACTCTGAGTTTCTGTTTGTGTGGCCTTGGTAATAACATATTATTGACTGCTACAAAGGTGTAATGAACCCAAAACTATAAATATCTAAAAAATAGAATCAATAGTTATTGATTTAAAAATCACAATTATAAATATGGGAAATAGCAAAAAAATAAAAAGATAATATGAAGGTTCTGAATGGGCTTAGGACCCATCAGATGGGGAATAAAGTAATGCCAAGCAGAAGTAATAGCTGGAACAAAGACAAGTAAGTGACATAGAGGAGGAAATTACTAGGGAAGTGTCTCTAATTTCTATTGGTTGGTTTGTGAAAAGAATGTCTGAAAATAAGCTTGGAAAATTAGTGAGCAGGTCTATGAAAATGTAAGATGAACTTAAAAGTGAGACTGAAAGCAGTTTCCTAAAGTAGTGAAGTTATTACATAATAAAGGGATTTGTAATCAGTCTCATACTCAAGTAGTATTGATAAGAATATATAGAATGAAGTAGATGCGAGAAATCTTGAGAGGATAGTATCAATTGTTCGTTGTAAAAACATTGGGCCCGGAACAAAGGAAGAGAAGGAAAGAAAAGTTAACACTGCCCTTTTGAGTATGCTTAAGTTTGAATGAAGAAATAGTTTACTGAGCTAGACAATAATTTTTCTTCCTGTATGTTAAACAGATATACATGTAATAACCCATTTTTTAGCTTAATCCCTGCAATTTTTATCATAGTGCTTCAAGGTAATAAAAACAGTCAACCCAGTTTACTTACGTTTGACATCAATACATATCCAAATGTGTTTGTGACTGTTTAAAAGCTCTTGTTAACAGTTTTGTAGAACAATATTCTTTTTTATTGAACAGTGATTTCAAAGAACTATAATGTCTCTGTTTAATTACTTAGAAATCCGAATGGGATCCAGAGCAATAGCACAAGATGGCCAGTCTTCAAAAGCACAGAACAAAAGTATCTAACCCTGAATACTGAGTCACCAAGAATATACACTAAACTACGAGCTCAACAGTGTCGATTCTGGACACTATTTTTTCCCAAAGTCTTGGAAATGACAGGTGTGTGTGTTTTTTTTGTGTGTGTGTTTGATTAATTAGTAGATTGTTGATTATGTAAATGGAGGAAACGGTATACTATTCAAAGCATGGTGATGGTGCTAAATACTTATCTTTGACGTTACCATTATTTGACTACAATGTGTACATTATTTTAACAACTTTCTTCTGGAAGGTTTAGATATATTTTGAGCATTTACTGTATGAGCAGGACTTTATTAGTTAAACAAAGAAAACTGAAATATAAATTTCCCCCTAGAGAAGCATAAAATGTAGCTGGGGAACTAAAATGGGACCCTACTTGCGATGCAGCCAATCTTTGTGGAATTAATTAGTAGATAAATGAATAAATAAATATATAAACTAAACAATGTGTAGAAATTTAAAAAGTAAATAAAATGGATAAAAAATAAATTTATTGATAAATAGTAGAACACTTAATTTCTAGAGAGGAAAAAATCCAAAATTTACATATTTAATACAATCCAAATATTTCTAAATATTCTGAGCTTGGAAATATTTATCTAACGCATATCTAATATATGAATTACATAATATAAGAAACAGTAATTTATTAACTCATATTCAGGATGTGATTGTTTACAAATATATAAGAAAATACCAGAAAAATTGGTTCAAATTATCATATTATTTCAATATTCATTATTAAGAAAATATTTTCACCAACTTGAGTAGTCAAATATATATCATTTTACTTTGATCTTCTGTGAGAAAACTGGCATGCATATCCAACTCACTGCCTAGTTTTTAAATGCCCAGCTGTTTGTAATCCAGAGGGTTTCTCAAGTCTATTTTCTACTTTTATTTTTCAAATAAAATAATTAACTTTCAACCATCAGACATCTCTCTGGCGAGTCCCTTTAGAGGTTGCCGTTCTGCTCATCATAGCACACTTTGCAATTTTCAGGCTACAGGTTACATATCAGAAAACAGTAGATGTTTTCAGTTTCTTGTTTTGAGAAGTTGGAGATTAGTTTCAGGCAAATAGGGGCACCTCAGAGCTGTATTTGATGGTTTAAGATGCCTTTTGATTTTCTGACATTACTCAACAAAATTATAATTATGTACTCCATCTGTTTTGGAGATGTTTCTGATATACCAGTGCTCTGTGCATTACCAAATGTTCTGTGACATAATGTATATCCAGAGATGAGCTTTTTCATCCCCTGGCAGAACAACAGTGCTGTCCTTGTGTCCTCTGAGTGTGAATAACAATGAGGTAAATTATTAAATCTGCCAACATACCCAAAGAGATACCATTTAACATATCACAGGCTACATATTCTTAATCTTTATTTACAATATTTTTAAGTGAGAGGGTCATAATTTGAGGGAAGATAAGGGGATGATCTTAAATAAAATTTATTATAAGCCAAACTGAGTCGTTCTGGTTCAAACACATGTAATTTATTTTAATGTATTCGTTGATACAACAAAATATGAATACCAGAAATATTTGAAGATATGTTGCTAAAATCTCTGTCTCTAAATGCTTACCTGCCATAAAGCAGATTGAATAAATAAATTCCATACTTTCTGGCCAGCTGCTGCTCCTTCCTACACAATGATGAACAACTTCCTAGCTCAAGCAAAGCTGAGCTCTATGGAAATACTACACCTTGCTCTGGGTTAGTACCATGCTTAGGGCTAGGTTCAATGTGTTTTGAAAACAAAATTTTATACTTTAGCACTATTTATTTTCAAATAATCCCCCACCCCAAATTTTCATATTAAATATATTTTATAAATTTTAAAGTAAATGCGTGGTATGATTATTGCAACATCAATAATGTATTCGTTAATAATCAAAAATTGTTTTATTTAAACAAACAAAACCAGTTTAAAGTTACATGTTTTAAGGATTTATAAATAAATAATGTAGAGAGATTAAAAAGATTAATAACACATTTTCTTGTCACACCTTATATTTTCAAGTCACAAAACTGCAAATGTTTTCAGCTTTAGAGTTTTGAAAATCGGGGTTATTCAGATGACCTGGACTGAAGTTTATGTAGAATTTTTTTTTTAGCCAGGTTTACAAGTAAAGGAAAATTCCAAAGAATAACTACTGGCTGGCTTTTAAAAGAGGAGAAATGTTTACCTTACTCTAGATGGAAGCCAAATAAGCTTTTTAAGTACCACTTCAGCAGCAGTTTATATTTGAGCAATAAATATTCTTAAATAAAATGATTCTTAAGACTTGTTTAAACACACAAATTCCACTACCTAACTTTCATAATATACTTCAGCACATGCCTGTGCTGTTATTGCAAGCATCTGCAAGAAATAAAATACACAATATTCATAAAAAATGTTATCAAATTCAGATTTTCACTGAGAATGAAACTGTACACACAGTATTTCATACTTATTTGGAAAAAGAAAGGGAAATAGGGAAATGACCCATTCATTGTCGATGACATCAATATTTTTTTCACTAAAAACAAAAGAGTACACTTATTTAAAGAAACAAAATTGACTTTTGCATCATCCCAATAAGGAAAAAAATTAGATCCAGTGGTTTCTTCACTGTCCTTGTAATAAATTATGGAACACTGTTGCTTGCTGAAACTATAGAAGACCACATATCAATGTGAGAGCCCAGATACCCTTTGAACTGGTCACTTTGGAGAATCATTTGATGCTATTTGCTAATCAGTTAGCAAGACTGGCAACCAAAGATGAGAGAGTGGAAAGATGATTGGGAGAAAAAAAATCAAACTACCTTTCCTGTCTTAATATGTTTAAATTCTCCATTTCTAATTAAAAGCAAAAGAAAACAAACAGCAGATTTGGGGGTGGCTTGATAAATCAAATTAGCTACAGTGTTTGTTTGTCTTTAAAATATATGAAGTCTTCACAAAGCCTAAGGCTGAGTTTACAGTAGTTCACTCTACTCTCTCACCCTACACTCAAAATTATAACAACGAATAGGTTTGTGATGTACTGCATAAAGAATTATGCATTCTCTGATTATTTCAATAACTGGTCAACAAACAGGGAAATAAGCATGTGATGGAGAAAGAAGTGATTTTCAATGAACTCTCAAATACACAAATTATAGTGTTTTTTTCATTATGATGCTCCACACAATTCAAAATCAATTTAATCTCTTCTAACTTCACCTCCATTAGCAATTTTGGATTGCTTCACCTCTCTTAGTGTCTCTCCAGCTATGGTCTGAATGTTTGTTTCCCCCTAAAATGCCTATATTGAAATCCTTATCCTCAAGGTGATGGTTTAGAAGGTGAAGTTCTCGGAAGGTGACAGATCCTTCATCAACGGGATTAATGCCTTTATAAAAAAGGCCAAAGAGGACTCCCTTGCGCCTCCATATGAGGACACAGAAATGAGGCCACCGTCTACGAACTAGGAAGTGGGCCCCATCAGACACCAAATCTGCTGGTGCCTTGATCTTGTACTTCTTAACCTTCAGAACTGCAAGAAATAAATTTCCATTGTTTATAAGCAACCCAGTTTTTGATATTTTGTTAAAGCTGCCCAAACAGACATCATCTCTTAATTCTTCAGTCTTGACCAACTAGACTCAGCTATGTGGAAGATTTGCTCACTCTTTCTTATTGGCAAGATATTTAAAAAAAAAAAAAAAAAACAATCTTTATTATTATTATTCTTTTCATGGGAAAGAAAACCCGATTTTTTTCCCAAAGGAGATAATGTGTACAAACCAAAGATCGCACAGAAAGTAAACCAGGAAAGTTATGTCAATATGTTTATAAACTTACGTTTTCATACACTGCCTACCATGACTATTCCCTTCCCTTTCCCTTGTGAATCACCAAGAAAAAAAAAAAAAAGATATTTTTCTTTTATAATTTCCTCAAACCCAAAACAAGTTGTTCTGTTTTACATTCAAGAAAAGACTGTATGCTATTTGAAATAATTTTAAAATATTTAAATCATTCATAAACCAAGTGGGTTAAAAATGAAATTAAAAATTAATTTAATCCAGACATATGAAGGTGAAATAATAAAAATAACAAGAAATTAGTAGGTCATGTGTATCAAGGAGCATATATATATATGTTACATTATTATATATTATATATATGTTATATATATATTACATTATTCATATTTATATGTAGATCCTCTAGCCTCTTAGTAGACTTATGTTCTTTACTTAAAAATTATATTAAAATTGCTAGCCTACATATAAATAATTACCCTTTTCTCAAGTAATACTCAGGCCAACATATGAGTTAAGTTAAATTTATCTATGCATATTCTGTCATACGTATTTATGTTTTCTGTGTGTATGCGCCATTCTACCATTAGGCAATTTTTAAAAAATAAAAACTCCTTTATTTATTATTTTTATATCACTTAATAATAAAAATAATCTGCCAAAATTTTTTATTCTTGCTTACCTAGCCATTGTTTCTTTACAGGATTTTTAAATAGTTCTTTCCCTGCAGAGTACAAAATGAATTTGTACCATAGTATGAGATTAATAATAATATCAAAATTACACAAATATAAGTAATGCTGGTATAACTCGCTCACCAAAATATCACTTAACATTTTTGTTGAAGCAAATGTAAGTAAGTGATTTTTTAGGGGGTAGGGGTGAGTGGGTAGAGGAAGAGTGTTGCTTTTGAAATTGACATTTAAAAAAAACTAATATAAAACTAATGCAAAATGATTATTAATGGAAATAAAAAAGAAATTTTCCTAATATCAATTACCAATGAATATATAAAAACTGGGAAGAGGAAAATAATTTCTAAACAACTAGACATTTGCAGTGGTTTGGAGTGGATTATCTTTTGTAGGTAGTTAGCAGCTGACTAATTTCTGAACAGTTTTTTAGGACATGTTATCAGATGTATACCAAAATACCTAGTAAAAATATGATTTTTCCCTTTTTTTCCTTTTTTTATCAATTAATTTGATAAACCTTTACAGAGCCTATGCTGTGCTATCGTGTCCTAGGAAATGCACTTGCAGATACACAAAAGAAAATGGCAGGGTCCACTCACAGTAAGGTGGTAGAGTTACAGTCTAGAGCCATGGAAAGCTTTTAAAAAGAGAAGATATATGCACTGTTATCTTAACACGAAGGCAAATTTGAGAGAAGCCAGATAAGCAGGAACCGGAGATGAAGTGTCTTGTGTGTAATGTTAAGGAATTTAAATTCTGTCTTAAGCAAAGCCATTTAGTAATTTTAAAGCAAGATTGGCATGTTCTGGTTATTGATTCATAAATGTACTAGCTTTCATTGCATACAAGGAGTTTTTCTACCTAGTCTCCCTCCTTAGAGTTTGTAAGAGTATTATATGGCACCAACATAGTAATTGTATTTCTGAGGTAATACCATTTGTCTAAGTAGCTAAGTTTGTTGGATTATGTCAGGAATATGCTAGCTTCTCATGTTTATTTTATTTATTTATATTTTAAACTTTAATTTTACTTATTTTATTTATTCTTTAAATTATTCTAAAAGTGCTTTTTCCTGTTTCAGTGTAAAAGTATTCAACATCAAATTTGCCTCCAAATGCAAATTTGAAAATATCCTAAAAGTTTGCAAATATGTATATATTTCTTTGCTTTTTCTTCTAAAATATCTGCACTTCCAAGTTTGCTTTTTCTTTGCACACAGGGATTTGATATAGAGGGATTTTTTTTTTTTTTAAATCTCTATATATCTATTCACACATGTTATAAGTATTCACATAGTATCTTAAGTATAAGAGAATTTTTTAGCTTATATCTATGTTATCATTTTAAATTTTGACATAAATTTTTATATTATAAAAATAGATTATACAGTTTCTTATTTTATAAATTCAAATTTAATGAGTTTTTGGGGGGAGTGGTTAATATAGCAACACATTTTGAAAAATATTATTTTTTATTAGCAAGGCTAAGTAAATATAATTCCTTTTTTCTCTCATTTATTCAAAATTTTATTATTTCTTTCATTTATTACAAGGAATACTTACACTTAGGAAATGATGATTAATGTTGCTACCATCTGTACACTTGTGAGCTTAGAGAAACCATTGGTCTTGCAGAGAAACATCTCAAGGCAGGAATATTCTTCCTTGATGCCTCTAAGTTCATATGAAATATATGTTGATGCCCTTAACAAATGTAGATTTAGTTAAAATCTTGCATTTTGGTTAAGATTACAACCTAGGAAACTCAAATTGATTGAGCAGCCTGATTATTTTAAGATATAATTTTAATTGATCAACTATAGAGTAAACACATTGTTCACTACAATGGCCTTTCCTCTCCCAAATTTGAGATAAATCAAAATTCACTAATCATGTTTAATCCTTGTTTGTGATTGACCAGCCCTAAATTTTTTGTTTGTGATATGCCAGCCCATTTAAGTTACATGGTTTTATCACTAACATTGCTGATGTTGAAAAATGGAAACATTGACTTGTGACTAGATTTTATCCTCTTAGCAATAAATAAGTCAATAAGAAATGAGAAAAGAAAAAAGGAAAGAAAGAGAAGAAGAAGAGAAAGAGGGGGAGGAGAAAAATTTCCAATTTTGGTTTTGATTTATTCCCTGAGACTCAAAGCTTTTATTATCTTCATATTACGGTGTGTTCACTTCCTCTGGATTCTGTTGGAAAATAATTAAATGTTTCATATTTTATTATTTCAATCAATGCTCAGTACTTCTAAAGAAAAAATTACTCAGGGTTACAGAGTATTTGTGCACTAAAAAGATTTCAAAACACAAAATTTTATTGACATCTGATTATGACACATAGGGAAATAAATTTACTTTTATATGAATTGATGGATTTGGTATCATTCCATGAACAAGAAAAGAAAATCAGATCTCGTACCTTTTCTATAAGTATTAAAATTCATGGTCTAAATTCTAAATTACCAGTAATTTATTTGTTATAAAAAATTTTGTTCTTTCTGAACTTTAGAGTCCTTACTTTGAGTAAATAACATTTAAAATGGCATGTAATTATCATTTTTAAAAAGCATAAAAATGGATCATTTAGTATGATATTTAACACTTTCCTTCCATTTCTAATGTTTTTTGACACTTTAGAAAAGTTTATTATTCACAAAAAATTATAGTCATTGACCTTTTAAAAGCCATTTTTACATTTTATGTAAATGCACAAATATTTGTCCAATGTCCAAGCATTATGAATATTTCAAACCTAAGTATATCCTATATTACAAGGGATTTTTTAAGGCCATACAAATATTTTAAATATTTTGATTGTCATAGAAACTAAAAATGAACCACTGAATTGTGTTCACCAAATTAATATCTTACAAAGTTATAATTGATTTTAAAGGTTTCTAATGGAAAAGTACATATTAAAAAAAGTTGTCAGTCCCTATTTTCAGGATGATTGAAATAACTTAAAATTTTGTTTTTAATTTGGTGCCTATAGCTCAGTATCCAAAAAGTTTTATAAAAGAACCACAAATGTATAAAATGCTTATAGATCGAAACAATTTTCCTTCTTCTACTCTTATTATATCTACTTATATCAAGAACATATACAGATTTAAAAGTTTATAATTTAAGAGTTTCTACTCTTGACAAAGTTTATTTTTTTAAATAATACACTTTCTATAAATCATGTTTTCTGTAGAACATGGACATTTTTGGGTTCGGTGCCTCACATTGTTTCTGTCATAAACACTCCTCTCCCTGACACATACAAATACTTTGTAAACTTCTTGAAAGCAGAGATCATCTTGGTCTTTTTATTCCACAAAGCAATAAATAAACTGCTTTCACATAGTATGGGGCTGTAATGATGACTAGACATTGTTTGCAATTAAAACATATTGTAAAATCTATTTGAAATGACATTACAAAGTTATTCTTATGCATTAATATTTATATATGTACATTTTCATCAGAAATAATACTCTGCTGTATAATTATATGTCTATATGAGATGCACTGAGATTTTTATGTAAAAAGAGTTCAAGAAAAGAGACTAATGTCTATATATCTTCTTAGAAACCAAAACTAATATATAAAATGTGATATAATTTGATGTAATATAATACATAACTTATTTCTTATTTTATATATTCTTAAACTTCATATATATTTTACACATACATATTATTTACATTTTCAACATTTTCATATAATGTATAAAAAACTGTATTAAAAGCATTTCAGTTAGAGAATCTGATACTAAAGAAGACTAAAAAATTTCTGTGCAGTATATTTGGAGAAAATGGCATCTGTAATCAAAATTATTTTTCAATTAATGTAAACAGAGATTAAAATTTAGATTAATACAGCTTATTCCATGTTTTACAGGAAATATCGATGAAGCAGAACAAGAGTGGAAAGCAGGATTCCATCGCTGGAGCAACTACATGATGGACTGGAAAAATCAATTTAACGATTACACCAGCAAGAAGGAACACTGTGCGGGTCTCTAATTAATAGATTTACCCTTTACAAAATGTTCGTTTTCCTGTAGGCCAAAGCAAAAATATTAGTAGCTCTCTTACACACCTACTAAGAAAGCTATTATATCACTGAAACAAAAATGCCAGAAGGATAATATCGATTCCTCATATCTTGCACTTAGTATTTTACTTAGCATTTCAAAGTCCAAATGCCTGGAACATGTTTAATTAAATTTCAAAAAATAAAGTTTTACAATTAATTATATGCACATTAAAAAGATGTGCTGCTTTAATCTCTCTCTTTCCTGAATAACATTAAGTTTTTTTCCCTAAAGTACCAGTAGTCTGTTTTGAGTCACATGTGCATTTCCATTACCACTTATAAAAAAAGTATTTTTTAAAAATGAATTAAATCATGAAACACTGAATACTCAGTTTAAAATATTAGTTTATGAATTTAATGTCAATATGAGATATTAAAATAACCCAGAAAACAATTGTCCCCCTCTGTTTTTTATATAAAGTCAAGAGAGAATCCTAGAAGAGCCTCAGCCACTTGGAAACACTTTATGATAGAAACAAAACGTTGCTACCAAGAGACAAAGTGCAAAAGGATATAATTATTTCTATTATGTATGTTTTAAAATATGTATGTTTATAGTCCTCAAATTATATTTTTTACTCTTTCAACTTTCCTCTTCTTCAACTCCTCCATTCCCAACTCTCCCTAAACATGTATAAATGTAAATTACCCTTACTGTAACTTAAAATAAAAAAGTTGGATGAGCAGAAGTCTACACTCAGAATTTATGTATTATTTGAGATGGGGAACACTTGCCTGGACCCACAAACATTAGGATTTTAATTGGGAAATTGATCGATTTCAGAAAATAACATTTATACTTTCTGCAGACAAACTATATTATTTTCACAATTTAAAAATTACAAAGCTGTATTCACTAACACGGCTGACAAGGGAACACATACCAGTGAATATTCACTGAGTAGTTCTCTAAAGGGAAGAAGTCAGGGGATTTTCAGTTCCAAAAAAGGTGAGTTCATGTTGGTTATGCTAATTAAGCATTGAAAACTAGCATGCAGGACAGGACAAAGTGAGCCTATAAGTCCCATCACTCATTACTCATAAATGTGTCTACAGTTAGATCCAGTGTGTCCACCATCCTCAATCAGAGTTCATGGTACATTAGAGACAGTTGTGATAAAAGCCGAGGCAGTTTTGATATCACTTAAGTGCTACTGTAAATGGAAATTTTTGCTTTACATTTCATCTCTCATCCTGAGGAGAAACGACACAAATGATAGATGAATTATTAGCTTTTTATTCTATACAACCATCTTGGTTTCAGGTGCCATTTTTCCAGGATTCCAGTATATTTCTCTGAATCATTTGAACCTTCTTTTCATATAGAATCCTCTGACATTTGAAATAAAAATATGATACCTGTTCAACAGCTCTGAAGACCCTATCAAAATACACTTGGCAAGGTTAATAATTAGGAAAACATAACAAGGTTTGTAGAACACTTGTAAACCTGCCTCATATCACAAGTCCCAGTAATGAAAAGATCTCATGGACCACTTTGTCTCACCTTGAACAAACAATTGGTTTGTTCTTGTATTATACCCTAGATACTCACTGACTTACTCTGAAGCATTTATCCAAATGCAACAAGAAGTGTTAGTAAGCACCAAAACCGCTCCATGTTTGTTCTGTAAATAAACTAACGTGAATCTATTGTATCCAGCACCAATGCAGGAAACTAGGTTGAGACTTTAAAACAACAATAACAAAAAATTTATATAATCGTCTATATGTTTCACTTGCTGTGATTGCCTGTGATTGCCATTTAAAGAGCAGTTTAGATGCAGGAGTCTAATTCATGGACTCCCAAGCCAAGAGAAGAAAAAATAGAAATCAATATCTCTGACTCCTCCTTGGAGATTTGCACTTTGGCAGGTCCACAGATGGAAAAGTGTTTGTGCAACTGAAATGTTAATAGTGTGTAAGTATTAAAACCCCCATATGACATAAAGCCCTTCCAATAGGGCAGAGTGTGGGGATATACTATCTTAGCATAAGTACCCAAAGCCACCAGGACCATCGACTAATTTGGGTAACATTTTTAGGTATATTTCTCAAAACTGTAAAAGATAATAGTGTCTAAAGTTACAACAGAACAAATGTAGTAAGTCCAACCAGTGTCACAATGTTTAATTCAATCAATTATTAAAGTACTGATAAGTGATTTTCCTTTATGGTTTGGTGTTCATGTAATATTTATAAGGATTAAGATAACAAGTCACACACCTTAACAATAATACTATTATAATTAGTTTTATTTTTCCAAAAATTGGCTGCAGAATATTATCAGCATGAAAGGTATAATTTTTAAAGATAAGGTAGTTAATTTCTGGATAATCTGAAACTGAATTTTATGAATAAATCTTAACTTCAGCTGTGACATTTTTAACCTAATATTCTAATAAATGGAAACTTCCTGACATTGCTGAGGAAGGGTGACAAACTTAAGTAGTAAAATATCCTTTTGCAGCTGTAGCCATACTGAATTCAACAAAAGTGTTCTTTTTATAAAGAGTTCATTTTTAAATGAGGATGGTCAGAAAAATAAGAAATCAAAGTTTTTGACCAAATGTACTTAATGTAAATGTAAACCAAAAGTGCTATTTACCAATACAATCTCAGTGAAACCTTCAGACTACCAAAGAATAGAGGCAAACCCACCAGACTTAAAAATACACACATACAGACACACGTACATGCATGCTAACATACATTTATACATACAGGAGCCTATGAATGTCCAGCTAGGCAGAGCAGGGAAGAAACTCACTAGGTGGCTCCATGAGGGGGGAAAAAAGTCAGAGGTTTTCAGTACTAGAAAGGGAGAGTGCATGATGGACATATGAGGGTCATCTAGTTAAGCTTTAAAAGTAATGTAAAATAATACAAAATATGTTACATAAACATATTTATTGTGTATACACACATAACATATAAATAATATTTAAAATAACATACATTACATATTATGTTAGGGCAAGTTGTGATAAAACAACAGTCACTGGATACATTATGGTAAGTGTGGCTGTAATTGGAAAGCATTTTATTCACAAATTAATTCATGAGAGAAATATTAGATCAATTATATTGGCAGTAATTGAGTAAAGAATATTGTTAAACAAAACATGGAGAAGGTATTACACGTTTGCAGGAGCAGAAATGATAAAACTTTCACAGCGCCACACCACAAGTCTGCTACTACATCCACATGTGAACAACATTCACAATTTCTGGAAAGTAAAGAAAGAGAGAAGAAAGAAAATGAGGAAGGCGGCAAGGAAGGAAGGAAGGGAAAAGAAAAAGAAGAAAAAAATTTCCTTCAACAGTTGTATCCATATTCCATGCAGTAGTTTACCTTAATCTCTCATGTCCCTTGTCTAAAATTGTATCATTAGAGTTACCAATAGGTGAGATAATAAGGCAACAGAAGTGGTATAATGATTTCAGAGGTGAATACTAATACAAATAGCCCTATATACACAACAAAAAAACCTCATATATCTCACAAAAAGAAGGCTTATTTCTCCTACAGACATTGTCCATTTTCTTAGCTTAGTTTAATCCTTTATGCTTACCTAAAGATGAAACAAACAAACAAACAAACAAACAAAAAAACCCAATAACCAATTTCCGAAGCAATCAACAGTCAATGTCTCTATTTTGTGAGATCCATCCCTGGGTCCCCAGTTAGCAGCTGCTTGCAGTATGTTTGGCGCTTGTTGATTGGGTGGATAAACGGAAGGATAAGACACTGTGGAGTTCAGTTCTACTATCCAGGAAGAAAATGGCATTGTGAATCTTTGGGGACCCACGAAAAAACATGAGAAAAAAGTAGGAGAAAGAGGAGGAAAGTGGTGGGTGGAAAACGGGTGAAGGGAGGGGAGGCACTGCAGTCACTTGGAACTGAATTTATCGAGGTGGGCTGTCTAGGTACTAGAGGGTTACAGGGTAGAAGAGTGTTGAGACAGGCAATTGCAGATTACACAGTGAATAATTTCACTTATATATATGGGACATTTAACTCAGTGATTCTCAACCTCTAACTTTAACTACACATTAGAATCCCTGTGGATAATATAGGATTGCTGCACACTGGGTTAAATAAATTAGGATCTCAGTGAATAGAGCCTAAACATCAGTGTTTTTAAGTTTCCTAGGCGATTCTGATTTCATCAGGTGAAGAAACGCTGATCTATTTTTCTATGGCAGCATAGTCTGTCTTGACCGGTTTAAAAAGGGCAGTGTTTTCCCTAGAGAAGAAATTATAAATCCTAGGTCAGTAGTTCCCACACTTTGTTACATATTAGAAACAACTAAGAAGTTATAAAAATTTCCGATATCTATGCCACACCTCCTACTGATTAAATCACAATGTGAGAGTGAGAGACAGGCATCAGTATTTCTTAATGATTCCTAGTTGGTTCCAATGTGCAACAAAGTTTGAGAACCAATAAACCATTCTAGATGGTCAATTTACAGAACTGGGGAAATATTCATACTGTTTTAGTACTCACGAGCAGATAACTATAAAACCTGCAATTTATGTAAGAAAGAAATGTACTTGTTACTAATATCTAGCAACTAATTGTTTTCCTCTGAGCAAGAAACTGTAACAGAGATTACTGAATGCTAATAATAAATTTGGGTTGTATGCTTTTTCTCCAAGACTGCTACACTAGAAAGTTATCTTTTCAGGATATTATTTCTACTAATAAATATATGCTTTGAGAACAGGGTTGTTTGAAAAACAGGACAGAGTAAATGAAATATATACATATATACATGGTTTATATAATAGCACTTGTTATAGATCATTGTTTGCTTTGAGCTAAGCTGGAACTTGCTTACTTGACTATAATTAATAGTAATAATTCAGATTCAAGATAAGGAATTATAATTTTAATTCCTATTTTCCATTGTACTTCTGTAAAGAGTATTGACTGTCTAGTGAATGCTCACAAATACAAGTCATCCTAAACAGGTTCATAAAGAGATATTGTTCATATTAATTACTTAATGATTACTGAACTAAGTAGATGAGTATTAAGAAGTGTTTGTGATCTCAAAAGTATTGCCAGAAGTTTTTTGCTTGAGGCAATTATTCTATTACCTTGTTTTCCTGGACTGAGAACTTTCATTTTCTTTTAATTGTTTTTGATTTCCCTCATCAGTTCAGGGAAAAGAAGAGAAAAAAAAAAAAAAAAAAAAAAACCTTATCAAAGAAGTCTCTGGAGAATAAAGTGTAAACATATATTTAAGAATGTTAAACAGTCTAAAATTGTTGAAGTGAATATGCAAAGATAATCAATCTATCTATCTATGATAGCCAATCCCAATTTTTGAATGAGAAAATTAAAACAAAACAAAAGAATGTTACTGATATATCTAAGGCAATTCTGGAGTACAGATTCAAAAGTATTGGCCTTGATCAAGATAGCATTAACTTTCCCCACAACCGGCCTAAAATTTAGAAAGTTTCTTCTTTTTTTTTTTTTTTTTTTTTTTTTCCTATCAGCCCTTGACTTCTCTTTTCTTAGATCAGTTACTTTAGAAAACTTGCAATTGTTAAATTCTTTCTCTGATCATTTGTTCTTTTTTTTTTTTTTTCCCTAATGAGCTGCCCTGTGGATCTGCCTCTTTGAAATGTATGTAAATATTCTCCCAGCCTCTTGGAGTTTTATTACCAAGGAAATT